TTCAGGAAAGAGATTACTACTGTGGTATCGGATATAATGAATCTCCCGCTCTTGGTCGCTCACATCTCAAAGCCGTTCAATGGCAACTACCTCAAGTAAACAAAGTCGAGTTATAAAAAGATTTTACATATATCATCGGACAAATTAAAACCCAATTCTGCCAAGTATTTTGCGAACAGTTATGCTCTTATAATAGTATCAGAATTACATTAAACGTTGATCAAAATGATAAACCAATTTCTTACAAGTCTAGACCATTGACACTCGCTTATAAAGCAAAAATGTAACACAAGCCAAATAACTTAATTAAATAAGGTATTCTAAAGCCAATAAACAACTCAGATTGGCATACATCCTTCGTAGCAGTTGTGAAAAAATGTGGATAGGTTCGCATATAAAGCGACTATAAAATCATCATCAGTGAACATTTGGTGGGCTTCAAATACCCACTGCCACCCATTGATGAAATATTAGTAACCTGACAAAGCTACACAACTTTTAGTAATCTTGATCTATCTAACGTATTCGCTGAACTTGGATTAAATAATCAATCTGAACTGCTTTGCACCTGGACGCCTATAGAAAATTTGCTACGTGATATTCCCAATATTGTTGCTTATCATTAGAAGTGGTTGTGGACCAGACTGTCTTAAGCTAAATGAAAAAGATTCTCAATCTTTCGGTTTCCATTATCATATCTGGGATTTACCATTGGATTAAAAAAAGTTAATGATCATATTTTAAACGTAACAAGTGCGCCTATTCCAAATACTATCTCAGAGTGAAGAGCTTTCGTCGGAGAATTTAGTTATTATTTCAAATTTGCATTTAAACAATGTCAGAAAGCTTATCAAAAAGGACTCAACCTCTATTCAAGTATAGGTTCTTTGTAACCCAGAGATGCTAATTATAATGCAACTAAAAAGACAAAACAAACAAAATAAATAAATTTTCATGCTCTATAATATTAACTGTGTGGGTGGTTTTTCTATTTTCAAAATACAAGTTTTTATCTCATAGGCATATGGGCATTGTAGGTATGACCCTGGAAGACTTTAAGCCACTTCAAAATTCTTCTGCAAATTTGTAGGCGATATGTTTATTTTCGTTCAAATACTACTCAGACATATAGAACGGCAGACGGACCTGTTCAAGTGTATTCCACATTTGAAATTGACCAAAAATTTGTACAATATATGGAGGTTTCGAAGCTAGATTCTGCGTCTTATAAAGGTAAAAAAAAAAATTTTAATTTTAATATTCTATAATATCGCATAGGTCTGGCCAACTTTTTCCGTTTTTGTACAGTTGCTACAGTATCGCTCATAGAATATGCGCACAAACTTTTGGACGTTTATCTGCTGTAGTTTATGAGTAAGGAGGAAAAAACCATTTTTTTATTACTTTTGAAAGGCAGAGGTGTTTTCAGTTTACGTGGTACTGTGGGCGCATGCTTCCACCGATTTGGCTCATTTTATATACCAGCTTGCCTGCCACAACTTCCAATGTTTGCATCAAATTTGAAGTCGATACGTATATTTTTGCGACTAGGAAAATGTTTACAAATTACATTGCACAGATGGACATGCTTAAATCGATTCAACTTTGGGGTTGATCGAGAATTTATATACTTTGTGGGGTCTCTGACGCTTTCTCCTGGGTATTCCAAACGTTTTAACAAAATGGATATAACACTCATACTTCCATGATGGGCATAGAAAAGAAGTTATAAAACTTTAGAAAAAGATGCAACACGATACTTTAATGAATAGTCAATAAATTAGAATGTAAGCGTTTTAAATATTTGCGAAACAAACATTTGGAGCTACCAACAGGATATGATTGCGTTATTCGAAGATATGTAACCATCATACCGCAGAAATTTTAAAAACAGGTAATAAATCAAAGGAATATGTCAGATATCGGTATTGTAAAGACGAAAGATTTAGCAACATTACAGGTATGATGGCGGGGAGTGGACAAAGATAGCGAATCAACGATAAAAGCATGCAAAGCTTGCCAAGTATAACGCAGCAGTCAGCAGAATTCACCGATTTCTTGAATGCCTAGTAATAAAATATGGAGCAGAATATCCATTGATTAGTCGGTCCCAATTAATAACAATTACATTTAATTGATTGTTGACTCCTTTTCGAACTGCATTGGAGTACACCCAACAAAAAATACTACTTCCAACTGTGAGGACCCACGGTCGTCCCTCACGGGGTCTGGGTGTATGAGCTGGTAACCAAGCTAAATTCATTGGTTTTGAAGCCGGCAACAAGGTAGTGCTGCGAAGTCTAGCTTAACTAAAAATTTGTTAGTGGTTTATTTACATGTTTCTTTATTTATATTTTTATTTTTAGATTTGAACAAACCACGAATACGACGTGAAAAAAATGGAATGACAATAGGTTATTCTTCAAAAAAAACAAGGACAGGGCTATGCGAGAAAGTCATACCGACGGTTAGAAAGATCGTAAATTATTTACTACAATATGCAAATATTGGAAACCATTTATCTACTCGTTTTGAGGTTTGGGAGTGAGATGCGTCTCGCAAAGCCTTTCTCCGCCATTGTATCGTAATCCATCCTTGTTCGACGCGGTTCTCCTTGTTCACCTCTTCAATGAATCATCATGAAAATAAGCTAAGACACATTGGGCTGAGAATGCACGCACTAGTTAACATTCATCAATATAGCTCGATAGTTAAAAAAAATTGTACTTACTTTTTTCGCATTTTTGCGTTTCTTTCATAATTTAATTTGGATGATAGTTTAGTTTCAAAATTCGGAAATAATTCAATTTGCAATAGCTCTTTATATTATTCCTTCATGACAACTCTAAAAGAAAATTTCGTGATAACTTTTCTTGGCTTACACAATAACACCGGTTTATATATCTTAATAATTGCTACAAATACAACCTTGCGGAAAGTGGGGTTGTTAATCTCGCGCGTGGACGGATGATGAATGCTCAGATGACACTTGTAAAAAGAAGAAAAAAAAATGAAAGAGGAAAAGAGATTTTGCTTTTGGTTGCGAGAAACAAATATAGTAGAAAATTTAAGAAAAATTTTAAAGGTTCGACAGATGTCAATATTTTTTTTAAAAGTTGGAATTTGTGTTCCCATGTATTTCATTACATGCTTGTATAAAAATGTCTTATGGATTTGTCATTAAATTTACTATACAGTAATAAAAGGAACGGGAAATGTAAAAACAATGCTAAAAAAAAAATTCGGTATAAATTTGATCTAATATTGAAAAACGATAGCTCTTTTAAAGCGGATATTAAAACCCGTGTTAAGAAATGAACAAAAATGTGTTTCACTGATTTTGTTGACGATTTGTTATCATTCAAACGCCGATACACAAATTTATGATTGGAAAGGAATACTAATTTAAATAAACAGATTTTGATTCATTTAAAAATGTCAGCTAAATATTAAAAAAAAACGTTACAAGTTAACAATACCAAGCTGTCCTAAATGAAAACATTTTTAACAAATGTACCGACTACATATATTTATGCGAGAATTCCTGAGAATATAATTTGTGCAATCACACATGTATTCTTATATATTATTTAATCCATTCCGTTTTAATTAATGAAGAAACATTAATATTGTTTTTCCTATTGAAAATATACGTGTATATACACAAATTTTTTGTTTTGCAGCGCGAGAGGAAAGCCGAATTTTCCATACAAGTGTTTATTGAGATTTGCTACATTTAGGAAAATTTGGTTTGAAGATATTCCGGATCTACCACTGCAAATCGTTAGCCGAATGGGACCACAGGCAGTGCAGGATACAAAATGGCTCACGGCTTATGATCTTCCCGTTCGGTAAGTAGGTTTCCTTCATTTATTGTCATAAGGATAAAGCACGTGTATTTCTTTTAGATGCAACCGTCTGTGGAGTAACCGTAAGATACAAATTTAAACCCACTTTATGCATGCTGCCATGTTGTACTACTACCTTTTATAAAATCGAAGTTCTGCAACATTCAACAGTTACGTAAATTGTCGTGTATGATTTTAATTAAAATGTATTCATCGGTATAATTTAGCCACTGATTTGATTTAGGTCATAATGAAAAATTAAAGTTTGCAATTGTAAGATATGCGTCGCTAATTTTGCTGATTAACTTTTTCTATCCACCCACAATTTTTTGTATTAACGTAGTTATGCAATAAAATATGCAGGAAAGGTAATTATCCAATAATTTTTATTGTATATATTTATTTGTTCTTTCCCAATTCAGGTTGTATAAAAACGTTTCTTCTTTACAAAATAAACCAGCAGTTTAATTACATCTCCTAGTATAGTGTTATAAACAAATAAAGATGGTGTCATAAAACCAGTGTGGTTTTGAAGACAGCATAAGCGACAGGATCATCATACTAAAAATGATAAATGAAAAATAAAATATAATGGATTTTCGGAATTATATTACTTAGTGCTTTAATCCAGCCACTCGCATACATTGTTGTGAGGATTAATAATTATTACGAAGTGAATCAAAGTTATTAAAAATATGCTTTGATTGAAACCAATTATGATTGTTGTTATTTTTGCAGGAAGTGTAACTTAATACTAAAATATTAATGAAAGTAATGGTTACGCTAGTACAAAATTGAAATTAAGTCAAATAATATAAATACTTATACTAATAACACGAAATGTAAATGCGTATGCTAATAACAGAACATAAGCACATGAACTAGGTCACGCTGCGTTAAAAATAAATATGCCTGCTAAGATTAATTATACGAAAATTGATTGGATATGTTAAATATTAAATATATTACAACAGTCCTTGCTTTGCTTCCTTAAAATTGCTGGGACGCAAGCAATAGAGCTCGCTGGTTCGTGACCCTGTTTTAGATAGGCAGGAGTTAGCATTTTTGAAATTCTTTGCGAGAAAATACTACAAGGAGATTTTGCCACACTTCACACTATAAATTGCTAAAATAAATTATTCCAGAATATTGTATCAGAAAATTTCAAAATTCTAAGCAGCTAGTGTCAAAGAACACAATTTGCTATCAAACTGCACATTGCTTGCCATAACACAAGCTACCTGATCCCATCCCCTTATTTTGACGGTTGAATTTGATCATATATAAATATACTGCTATGGAATTCTTGACATAGTTCGAATAACTAGAACGTCGATTTTTTTTTTTATTTACAACCAATTTCTTTAAGGATAAGATTATTTATAATTTATTTCGGCCATACTCTTGACTTCTTGATTCAAGTTTTCTTTTTCGATTAACTCTGCCTTCGGCGAATATTCCGTTTATATATATTTTTACAAACATATTACTATTACCTAAGTTCATCGCGCCATTTTAAATACCTTAATGCGCTTCTCCTCTAGTCTTTTCCGTCAGCCGGCAGCTGCGTAACCTTCTCTGGAAAAATTATTTTCTGGAAAATTCAATTAGAATGAAACCAGATTTGAAATTTCCGCAACAATACGTTCCTGTGCAAAGAATTCAAAAAGCTCAATAACTACCACTATACTCTTTTGTGTGCATGTCAAGTGCAAGGTCAATCTTAATAGAGGAAAGTCGCAGAAGGAACCACAGCAAGGCTACTAGACCCTAACCAGCAAAGATTGCGAAAAGAAAAAGCGAGGCGGACCTTTAAATATATTAAACATTATAAACGGGTTCCGCAAACTAATATTCGAATCTCAACCATAAGGTGTTCGAGATTGGATAAAGCCGCTCTGAAAATGACTTTGCGTACATCTTTGTAATTACTGCTGCATCATACTCCATATTTTTATCGTAGCGTTTGCCGTTCTAGTTTTGGTGGCCATACCAGCCAGCAAAGCTGCACGTTAGAAGTTTTCTTTTAGTATTTTCCGCATTGGTTTAATCAATTTGTTCGTTAATCGTAACATTTGTTCTATTTTTGCGTTTTTTATATAAAATTTCATCAAATTTCACTTAGTTTAAAAAAAATGTTTAGTTTAATGATTGATCTCACTTGTCATTTAACATTTCACATCTGTGTGCTATAGTTTACTCTTTTCTAGGGAAAACTTAACATAAAATTATCGAAATACTTATAAGCAATGCTTAAAATCATTTAAATAAATCAGTTTTACAAACAAGGATATAAAAATTCAAGGCTTCAACGCATCTCTACACAACCATACACAACCATTTCACCATAAAATGTTTCAATCGATTGCCATAAATTTACATAAAATTTAATTTTTCTTTTATTTCTTGCGCAATTTTTTTCTTTTATGTGACACTTTATTCTCTAAATTTTACATTAACACTGCACAGGCTTGTTTGCTGTTTCATCTTTTGTCCATGACTTTTCAACTTGTTCTTTCAAAATAGTGAAGTAAAAAATCTGACGCAGACAAAAGTATTTTATTTTTTTTTGGATTGATATTAAAAAAAATACAATTTTTAACATATCTTATATTTAATTTTTCAGAAAGTTATTTGTAACAGTTTTTTTTTACTAATTCGATTGATGGAAAGTTATTTCTTTCGTTTTTATTCACTTTCTGCCGATGAAATACAAATTAACCTATTAAACACAGCACCTCTTCTTACCAAAAACCATCACCCTTCAAAAAACTTGCCCTTTATTCTTTCTTTTTCAGGCACATAAACTTTCTTCATTATGATTACTAAAAACAATCATTGAACTTAACAAATTTCTACTGAGTTGCAAATGCAATAAATGACAACAAGACCGTCTAAAAGCACGCTCAACATAATATATTCTTGAGTAGAAACAGAAGTTGTCCTTCATGTAGACGGCATGATAGTAGACAGCTTACGCCTACAACCTAACGAAAATATTCCAAATACTCAGGCAAAGAAGTTATATATCTTGGATATTTAATCACACTCAAACAAGGGAAACCAGACATATAAAATTTCGAAACCATCAGAAATTATCCAGTCCCCATAGACACAGATGGGCGTTTCTGCAATTATTACCGACGCCTTATAGAAAGTTTTGTTAAAAGTACTTCCGCGTTACACACACTCGTAAAGAAAAATATGAATTTCTTTTGGTCACACAAATCTCAAACAACATTTGGTGACTTCCGCTGAAAACAAATAGAAACGCCAATCTTTCAATACCCAGATCATGATGACCGCTACTGATGCTTTCGAAACTGCCAAAGGTGCTATTCTCTCCCAAGAAGAAATAGATAATACCTTGCCTATATCCTATGAAGGTACATCATTAAATGTATAAACTCTTTAGTGAGGACGGGCTTTCAATAAAACCAATAGCTCAGACGCTCAGTGCATACAAACTGAATCGTTGCGGGTATAATGGGGCAAAACACGAGTGAATATAAGCAAATGCTTCCCGTAATTAGCACTTCAGTGCCAATATTGTGCAGGGGATTATTGAAGTTGCCGTAGGTGGCAGAGGAATGAAACCATACGCAACATTTATGAAACGATAACCTAATCTGCTCCACATAGGAACACGGCTTATAACTAAATGCTTTAAGAAGTGTTAAGCTTTCCCTTTAGGACAGCCAGATCAACGCGCAGTGCTGACAAATAAGTGTTAATTTATCCAAATAATATATCGGAGTCTATATCGAATTATGTATGTTTCGGTCAAAATCAACCCTCTCCCCAAGTCCACTTTCATGTCCAATTACTGTAGACAGCTGCACGTTAAGCGTGCCTAACTTGCTCACAGAGTTGGCAAACAAAAAATATCGATCATTATTAGAATGCGATGTGATAAAGAGCACCGCACAAACACGTTATGTTCTTTGTAGTGTCCACTTTTATGTTTATGCCGCAGAGCATGTGTTTGGTTACACCCATACTCGAGTATGCCTCTGTTGTGTGGTCTCCTTTATATAGGTGCTACGTAGATTCAATTGAATCTGTTCAAAAGAAATTCTTGCTGTTTGCCCCTAGAAATTTGGGTTGGGACCCGATTGCCTCTCTTCCTACCTGTGAAAATAGGTTGCTTCTGCTGTCCTTACCGTCTCTTGAGAAACGTAGGTTTGTTCTTGGCGTCTCCTTTGTAATCAAAGTAATAAATGGTGCTATTGTCTCGCCATTATTACTTGGTGAAATAAGCTTTAATGTCCCTAACCACTTCTCTAGGCACTTTAACTTGGTTAAGCTTAGTCAGTGTAAATATAACTATGAGTTGTTTAATCCGCTCAGAGTAGTTTGCAAGAACCTAAATGACGTCTATCACTTATTCTCGTTATCGGATTCTTTAAAGTCCATTAAAGCGCGATTTACCTATGTGTTATTTAAACTAGTTTTTATCCTTAAAAGTCGTTATGATTCGAAAATGAATGATTGTTAGTATTATCGGTTGCCAGGCTTATGCATGTTTGCGATGGCTTAGGGGTTAATTTGCAATTTGGTCCTGTACCGGTTGTAAGTGTGGCTCTACGCTGGTTGTGCACATGCTTTTTTTCTTTTTTTTTGCTTCTTATTTGTTTTATTGTACTTATTTATTATTAATTTAATATAAGTTTTGCTTTAAATGCCAATTGAACTCGACTGTTATTTGTTTAGTTGAGTTTCATGTATAAGTAGAATTAAAATAAATAAATAAATAAATAAACATCAAAAAGGCCCAAAAAGATAGCAAGGGCGGCTTTACCATTGGTTCGCGGTGACATGTGGGTATTCATCTATCAGTGATCGTTCTCGAAATGATAAATTTGACTTTCTCAAAGATAATAAAAATCAGACTTTCTCAAGGTATTTAAGTTGCTTTTAAAAAGCGATGAACCCCTTAAAACTTTGTAGCCCACAATAGCCAAGCACATTATTAGGTGTCTGTTCAAAAGTTTGGTTGCATTTTGAATATTTCCTTAACATCATTAGTTTTCGTTACCACCTACTTCGATGTTTCAGGAATCGTCGTCAGTGGAAATTTCCATTAGAGTGCAGTGGTTAAAATAATAACGACAATTACTTTTCTATCTCTATTTATTTCTCTCTCTATCTCTGTCTAAATGGTGTAAGTCATTTAATGATCGGCTCTGCACAACTATAAAATTTTCGCTTATTAGTTAAGACGCGAGTATGACCATCTCCAACTGCAATTTACTTTAAATTCATACTGTACAAAAATTTGAAATTCTTTGGCCAATCGCATATCGTCTTGAGTATGCTAATCGGATCAATGGCAAACAATCCAATTTTAGGATTAATGCATAACTTAGGATTAAGAACTAGCGTTATGATTTAAAATAAATTCGATTTCATTATTCTAATGTCCAGGATGTATCTTATAATCTTATAATAATTAAAATTAGGCCAAATAAAATAAATGCGTATAGTAATAAAAAAATATGTAAATACTTACGCCAATAACAAAATATAACTGGTTATGCTAATATAAACTAAGTTACTAGAATTGCATTAAAAATAAATATGCTTACTAAGATTAATTATACTAAAATAAGCGGGTATTTTAAATGTTAAATACATTACACTAATCTTCAAAAGCTTACATACGCATTCATTTATTTATTTATGGTACTAATTACGTATACGTGAAGTCGGGTTCGACCTTTGTGGCTACATGATGCACAAGACGTGCAAGA